GAGAGATTCCTGACAGGGTAGGTGGGTGCTGGTCACATGCCCTGCAGGTCAGTTTGTTAGAGTTGGCACCACAGAAGAGCAGTGGGGCACCAAGGTAAATAGCACATAAAATGAAAAAAGTTGGATAGTGCTCTTATGAGAAATAGAAGCAGATTATACTGAGCTATGCAGCAAGAGAAACACGTACACACACACCCACGCACTTACTGTCACACACACAAACGTGCAGCGTCTCCTGAATTGACCCCAATTATTGACACATTGAAGACATACTTAAATAATTTAGTCTGTGTTTAAAATTTAACAGCTCACATGCCAAAGCCAAGCACATCGTTCCTCACACGCAAACACAATCCTAGTCGCTGCAGGATTATATCGAGACTTTCTAAATAACAAAACAAAAAATCACTTCCAAGATACACAGAGAGAAAAGTATGCATGGAAGTTTATCTGTGTGGGCTACAGATGAATGTAGCACAATCTTGTGAAACCTATCACTGAAGACTAAACCCAAAATTATGCAGGACTCAACCTGATGCCATTCTCTCGTATCGAGGTAAACTATGTCCTAATTGGAATTATATGTACTTATGTGATCTCTCTGTAATAACAGGTTGGCTGCAGGAGCGAGAGATTACAGATGGAGGGAAGGAGGTGAGACACAACACAGTGTTTGTCTTTGACAGCGTTCAGCCAGCTGTCTCTCCACCACCAATCCGCTTGACAGTTTGAAGATGTGTCGTTGCGAATGTGAGGAGTTATTTAAACAGGATTATGCTTGGAACAACGAGTGGAACACAATCTTTGCAGAGTTGGGAGAGAAGGATACTCTGGATTATGAGTGTTTATAAATATTATGAGTAATAGATCTGAAATCCACTTGAGGAATTAGCAATCTAAATATATTTCTGCTCAGTCATGTAACAGCAGGAATTACATTACTTAGATGATATGACAGTTCGGTATGCAACTTGTACAGTGTGATGTAGAAACTTGAAGCCAAGACTTGAAGTAGGAGACATCTTGTGTCCAGCAGGAAAACTTTAGAAGTGAACGAAATTTATATATTCATAGACTCCGGATAATTATTCTTTAGGATTTATAACATTTTTGACACTTATCAGACACACATTGTTCCAATCATAGGCGTAGGGGATCTTTAAGGAATATAGAAAAGTACAGTTAATTTTTGGAGTGGCAAATTAATAAAGTGCATGAATAAAATTAAATTTAAAGGAATAGTCTGACATTTTGGGATATATTATTTATTTTATTGCCAAAAGTTACACATACACTACACATACTTACAGTATAGCTGAGCGTAGCTTAGCATAAAGACTGCAAACAACAACTAGCCTGCAATCCTGTACAGTCACTCTGAGTTTAAGAGGTCAGATTTGTTGTCCAAGTGTACTTTTTCCACTGTTGTTTTGTGTTTCTCACATGAGCACACTTTATTAGTGCTTTAATTTTCCTCCCTCCTACACAAGGGCTGCAATGCCACCTGCCTTAATGAGTTCAAGTTCAGCCAAATGCAAATAGGTTTTTTTGCCCTTTTTATTTCTTTGGCACATAGTATATAGGCATGGAGGTGGGGCTGAGAGTGGGTGGAGAGGTGAGGAGAGGTGAGGTTGGGTCTGAAGTGGTACATGATCCTTGTTCACCACATAACTACACTGTATGTGTGTCTTGGATTTTGTTATTAGGAAGGGAAGCCAGAGGAGAAAAGAACTGACGGGAAAAGAAAATCCGCTGCTGTCTTTTGTTTAAACTGACTTCCCAAAAAGAAACAAATAATAAAACTGCAAATGTGATATCCCACAGATTTAGACTGCAAAACTGATCAGTAACAAAATGCTGATGCCGGTGTTATGCAAGACCCATAAACCTACATGAAAGTTTTGTTGGCGTTCATATGGCAGAATTCACAGCCACAGGACAACAGGACCATCAGAGGCTGAAAGGAAGACTGTCCTGAGTAATGTCTGTCCTTCATCCCGTCTGGCCGGATCTCCCTCCATCCCACTGCTAGAGCTCAGGAACCGGCTTACATCATACAATGTTTTTTGAGTCAGTCACTCCTTAACGTGTCTAAATAAAAAAGTGAATTACAGCAATGACCATTAAGAAAATAGGACATAAAAATAGTAGGAAAAATATCTGGGTGTGCCAGTTAAAGGCTTTTTTTGGAGGAGAGTTGTTGTTGGATTAGTGTTTGTCGGCGTTCTGTCCACTCCGACCGACAGAGCCACAGAGCAGCCTGAGGTTCACCTGCTCAACCACTGAGGGAAATACAAGCCTGCCCAGACAGGTCAGAATATGTGTTTTTGCAGACATTATCTGGATAGTTTGTGGCCATGTCCGCATTATAAAATTCACTATTTTCACTCAGGCTATGCATTAATTCTCTCTGGTTTCTCCCGCCAAAAGCTCATTCTTTCCTTCCATTCCTTCTTCTTTCATCCACAATCTTGCACTTCTTCCACAGGCAGTTTCATTCTTGCTATAACAGTGTGCACCCTCAAGAGAGTCTGATCCAGTACTTTTCCCTGCTCCAAAGTAGTATCGCTTTCTTCTGTCTGCCTTACTGGAATTGGCCCTTTATCGCCTCCTCCTCCTCTAATGACCTTTCTCTTCAGTCCAAGACCAGATGTACTGCACAGGTGCGCCCTGTTAGTCATAACCATAATGCTCAGCTCCGCCAGGCGTATCCCTTCCTGTTTTTCACTTACCTCTGTTTTGCATTTATCTTTTATCTGGGTCTCTGGCACACTTCACTGCTTACAAAAAAACATGGTTCTGGCCCTCTAACCTGCATTCATAACATTTCCCAATAGCTGGATATTTTGTTACACCGCACAGATGTGGGAAGGCTGAGGTAGTGACCGGTCAGAGCAGGACATTAACTACATGAGAGGGAGTGAGAAAAGGGAAAAATACTGAAGTGGCACAGAGGTAAAGAGGGAGAGGCACGCGAGGAGAACAGAAGAAATATGACTTTAGAGATGGGCCGCTAGAAGGCACAAATATAAGAGGACATTGGGAGGAGAAGGGTGAACGATTTTGTTCCATGCAATCACCCTCTCCATCTTTTTTCATCTCTCGTTGCCTGTCTCTAAGTTTAGATACAAACTACTTAAGTGAAGTCCCAAATCCCTTCTACCAGTGTAAAGATCTGTAAAAATCTGTCAGAAAACAGCCCTCCTCATTCATCTTTCTTTCCCTCCTTTGTGTTGGTATCTGCCTGTGGATATTGGACATTAAATATCTGCGTTAGAGAACCAAACCGCTGCTCAGCGGTTCCAGAGTTAACAGCCTAGTATGACCACATCACTGAATATGTCTGTGGCTCCAGCGCCAAAAACATCCAAGGCTGCAACACCATGTGCTTTCTCTCTCCCTGCTCCATCTGACTCCATCTCTCTCAATCCTGAATTCCCCTCTCTCTTATCTGTCGGCGGGGTTTATCTCCATCTTTATGTCTGTCTTAGTGTTTATCTGTCTGTCTGAGTCTTGCTGATTTCTGGCATAGTCTGTCCTCCTATTCTGGTTTGTTTACCATTGGTGAGGGTCTGCTTTCACACAGCTATTCACAGAGTGTTCTGGCTGAGCCAAATGTGATGTGGTGTTACGTAACTCTCAGATATACACCATGGGGATGTTGTTCTGTGTGACTACTGCATTAACTTCAACGTAGGTGTATGGAAGACTAGCTGAGTGTATTAGCAAATAACTTTGTTTTGAGATAGAATAGATTGCACCTCATAAATGTTTTGAGGTTTTCAATGAAAATATAGACACCATCCAGGTAACCACAAGGTGATACTAATAATATTGGTAATAATGATTGAGGAGAGTAAAATCTAACCAGAAACTGTTTTAGACACTGAAAAATCTTCCTGTGATGACGGGGGTGGTGCATCTTCTGCCAAAAGGATTGCATCTGTTGAAGTGTATTGGATATATTTGCAGGAAAACAAGTCAGCAATGGTTTGGAGAAAACCAAGATCACCCAGATAAACAATACTGATCTGGTTCTATAAAGACTAAACTGCTGGTTATATTGTTTATTTTATTTTTGTTATATGACTATTAGGTCAATTTATAATAAATAAAAAATACATGTTATATGTAAAGGTATTGTATTGTAATGTCATGTATTTTTCTTGTGTTACACATTGCTCTTGTCCATAAGAAGAGAAGTGTAACAAAAAAAATTATTCTATTTCACTTTAATGGAGAAAAGTCCATACAGATTGTTCAAAGTGTACTTCTACTGTAAATGAAATGGACATCTCTACCAAGAGACTCGTAATAAAACACAAAAGAACTGTGTCAGTTCAAAAAAGGGGGGAAAATCCATTGCTTTTTCTGGGTAGGGCCATTAAAGGGTTAATAGATGCCAGAAAGTAAAGTTTCCCTAAAAGGGTGCCGTGTCCTGTTGCTAGAATACCAGCAGTAATACATGACATGTTGTTTGATACTCAAAAACACAGAGTTCCTATATGAGATCACAGCTTCCATTCATGAAAGTTAAAGGGGTAGTTCCCCATAAATCTCCCTTCAAACAATGTTCAGTGTATTCTGCTCTGTGAAACAACTAAACACCAGGTGTCTGTGCATGTTTTTCACATTCAGGGGTCAAAAAGTGGACTCAATCCATGTGGTGTCTGTATGGTGGATGGTCTTTTCATATCATGCTGCCATGCTGGCAAACAGCAGCGAATACTATTATGTACCTGCTATGAGGCAGGTTAGACGTCCCCGTGCCAGCCTTCCCTCACCCTCCCCTCTGTCTCACTGTTTACCCCCTGCTTGTTTTTCTCCTTTCTGTCACCTACTGTATTTTTCGGTGAAAGGCGTGGGAGTTGAGGAGAGAGTGAGCTAATACCCCCGGTCTGATTAAATTGTGGAAAAGGGGGCTGATAGTATGAGAAGGGAGGAGAAGAGGGCGAGGGCTGGGGGTGGAGGGGGGAGGGATGAGTCGGTGGGTAGAAATTGAAGGGGTGGGGGGAAGAGAGGTGAGTATAAAAAGCCTTGCTGTGAGGAATTAGGAAATATTCCTCGGGAGAAAATACACACAGAGAGATATTTCCAAGACTTCTCACTCCATAAGTATCTTTCACGGTAAGCAATACTCTCTTAAAACTAACAGCAGGTGAAAGGTAGAACTAGTTTATATTTTTTAAACTAGACAAACTTTTGAAAAAATCTGCTACTTTTATTTATTATTTTTTTCCTATATATAAATTTTTGTAATGTCTTTAGCATAATGCTGCAACATGCAATCCTCATAGTACAGTAAACCTACAGTTCAACTCTGTTTGTGTAAAAAGAACTTAATATGTAACCTCAGGGTGGCTCTGTGCAGCATCAGGCCTGTAGCTTTTTCCAATGCGGTGGGCACCTTTTGCCTGCAGGGAATATGAACCCACCAGGACCCCTACTAAGACCCAGACAGGCATAAAGCTTTGTAGACACTGTTGTCAGCACCTGACACACATACACACACACACACACAAGATGCCCTTGCCAGTCTTTGAAAGTTGCTTTTTGAACTTTGGGCCTGAGGCTTGCTGTTTCTGTGCCAATGTGAGTCTGGGTTCCACTGAAGCCAAGATATGCCTTATGGGTTGATGTTATGAGCGCTGTGTGAGCATGAGCATGTGCCAGGGACTCTTGTGTGTGTGTTTATATATAATGAAAGCTGCTATTGACGGTGAAGAGGAGGGCTGCTGAAACAAAAATCCTGTCCAAATCCCACAAACAGAAGATGTGGATAAAAGCTGTCCTGCAGTGCAGGCATGCGAATACAGTGTGTGTTACAGACATCTGGCACTGCTGTTTGTACAGGTGTCACACACCTTACCATAAGTCACGCATTTGGACTCTATTAGTTGGCAGTAACTATTCTGTCATGGTTGTTGAGGTTCCAGCTAATGAACAGTAGTTTGTGTACTGACTTAAGTCCAGCTTACTGAAAACACTTTTGGATACTTGTTTATCTCAATGAAGGTCTTTGGTCTGGTTTTATGAATATAAATGTAAGTCTGGTTTCGTTTGTCCCTTGCAGAAATTCTGCAGAAGCTTGCCAGCATGTACAGCTAAATTTCAACAGGATAGCAAGTTTATATGTCTGCTTCTAGTCTTTATATATGCAAAACCACAGGAAACAGATGTAGAGTTTGCCACTTTCAGCCATCTATCCCTGCTTGTGGTTCTGTCCTGTTTACCCACAGTTTCAAAATCCAAGCCACTTTCTCTCCCTGTTTTCTTATCTTACTCTTACTTGGGTGCTGACATGACTCGCTGAAACACCCTTTTCCTCTTCCAGTAGCCCGGCAGATAAACAAGCCTGAGGATGAGGAGCCTTCTTCAGTTTTTGGCACTCTGCGCTGCCATCTCTCTCTGCGTCTGCTATGGTACAGATCCTCCCCAGACATCATCACTTTTCCATCATTCAGCAGTCATTTTTCATTTATAACACATAATATATCCAGTTTAAACAGTGATTCATCATTTATGATTAACCCGATTCCATGTTTTTCCCGTAGAGTCTCATGAAAGCACAGAATCCATTGAAGGTGATTAAATGTTGTCTCTCGTTCATGGAAAAACATGCATGCAGTTTTGACAAATATGACACAGCTTCTGTCGTACAGTATCTAGTATTTAATCCTTACTTTACCCTTCGCTAACGTACCCCCCACCCTTTATTTCACCCTGATCAGTTGCATGATGGGCATTAAATAAGGATTTTTGTTTAGTAAAGTTTTGTGGTTCCAGATTTGTTTGTGGCCCCGAACCAAGCCAACTCATTTATCACGCCACAGAGGGGCAACGTATACAGCCCACCCAGAGGGAACAGCCCCAACCATTACAACTTGATGAGGTAAAATACACAGCCGCAGACATGCATACAGAGCACATTCCTGTATCTTCTACATATGTAAGACCACAAATCCACAGAAACAGGCCAGAGAGCGCACTCACAGAGCCTGAAGCTAAGGGAAAAGGCAGTAATTTAAGAAGAAAAGCAACAAAACAAAGACAAAAGCCACTGGCTGCTGTGTATCTGTTTCTAATTACAATTATCTTCCTTGTCCTCACCCTTCTGTCCTCTAACTATGTCTGTCTGTCTCTGTGTATCCACTTTCTCCCCCCGCACTCTCCTCTCTCCTGTCCAGGACGGTGAAGTCTCCAGCGGAGAGGCGTGCGGAGACCTGTGAGGACTACTCTCCCTGCCGCTTCTACGCCTATCGCCACGGCTATCAGCAGGCCTACCAGAGATACTTTGCCTCCCGAACTCAACCCCAGAGACCAGCTGGGGCTCGTCGTCACTGAACTCAAAGTATCTGTCTGTCAAATGCAGAATTATCATTATCGTCTGGAAATGAATGTGCATTCCTTCATTCCACAACTTTTATATAATTTATGCAGTTTGTGACTCCTACAAGAAAACATTTTATAAAGAGGCATCCAGTGTGGCTCAGATGTTACAGCAACCCATCATTATACACATGTAGCAATTCATGGCCCATCTCTTGTGTAATCTCAGGATAACTTTTATCCACTATTATCACACCTTCCCAGCATTTATGAGCTTTAGGTGATGTGCTTGAATGAAGAGTTTTGCTCACTATCCACTAAGCATTTCTCACATTATCCACCTATTTATCCAGGCCAGCACTGCTGTCAGTGATTATTTCCATTGCTTTGATTTGAAAATAAAATTCCCTTTACTGGGTTTTGTCTTAATCCTGTTTATGCCATTTGTTTGCCATATGGGTGTGTGAGAACATTTAGCATTCAGTGCTGATTTCACAGCTACAGCTGTTTTAAAGGCTAGACCAAGAATAGTGCAGCAGGGGTGTGCGTGTTCAACGGATATATTGTCCTTATTTGTTTTAGGAGATTAACACGAAAAGAGGATTTCAGTTGTGATTTAAATATGACATATTAGATTGTTAATACCAATGCATTGATGCATAAGCAGCCTTTTACTTTATTTTAGCAGTTCAAGAGGTTTTAATTTATCCTGCTTGATATACCATTAGCCAGAGGTAGATGTAACTAAGTATATTTACTCAAGTACTGAGTAATTAAATTTGTAACTTTATACTTTTACTGAACTACATCTTTAGTTATTCCTTACCTTTAAGACATATACAATTTTTCATACCCTTCCTGTCCAGTGAAAACCATGTATCTCCAAATGTGTTGGTTCTGACTGTGAATTTTTACTGATAAACTGAAGGATTAAGTGTTCCCTCTCTTGAGAACATTCCCCTACATCTTCAGTTAAATAAACTATTTAAAAACCCTCTTGGATTAAAGACAAAGCTGAAAGCAGAGCTGTTTTTTTGAGTTCATAAGCAGACTTTTTAGAGATACGTGGCTCTCACAGGACAGCAACGTCACAAACACTAATTTTATAGAATATGATGATTTGCTGTAGATTTAACTACCCAACAGTATGTAAAGTAGTTAAAATGAGTAAAATGCAACATACACATTATAGCAAGAGTGATAATCCAGAAACATTACATATAATAGAAAAACACTGACAGGGACCATTTAACTATGAGTACTTTTACTACTTTAAGTACATTTTGCTGATAATACTGTGGTATTACTAAAGGAGCTTCTTCCATCACTGCCATTAGCTACTTTATTCCAAAAGTTCCCAATCTAGAAGGACAGGCCCTTCCAAAGGGTCACAAGGTAGATCTGAGGGTAGTGAAATGATTAATGGGAGAGGAAAGAAGAAAAAAACATTCAGCTGTAAAAATGTTTGTTAATTTTTTATAATTAGGCTTTTTTACTTTTACTGTTTAAATGAAACCATATGAGAGTCCTAGAGAGAAATTGTCTCTTTGGTGGAACAGCTAACAACCCATAGACAGCTGAATCATGATGAGGGACCTCAAATTACACAATCCCAAACCAAAAAGATTCAGAACCACTGGTTTATTCTCTCCAAATCTGTTTTATCTTATGCTTATGTGTGTCCTAAATGTGAAATATGAATATGCAAAGTAACTATAGTAACTATGTTTGTCAAATACATGTTGCAGGGTAAAAAATACAATATCTATGTACCTTAACAGTGGTTTTAAATACTGGAGTAAATTTATTTAGTTGTTGTCCACCACTGGCCTGTTGAGGGGTTAAATGAGGACACATATTACTGGAGGTACGTGAGCACTGCTGATTTCAGTGTGTGTAATCAAGATCTGGTTTCATGTAATCTCAGGAGGAATCTGAGCAATGCACAGCTGTGTGTCAGTGTCCTCGCTGCTGCAGACAGTCATACAAACAAAGACAGGTCAGCACAAGATGTCAGCATGGCACGGTTCTAAAAAGACCATCATGTTAGATGCTTGTTTTTCTATGTAGCCACAAGGCCACAAATGTGCACAATTAAAGTTATCCTGAGGTTAAATCCTTGAAGTCTGTCCCCGAAATGAGACAAGGCACCAGAATTGACCCAGACAGTGAAATTACACCCCATATAATACTGTCAGGACCTGTCCAGAATCTAAATATCCAGTCAAAAACAGCAACAAGAAGAGCAGAAGGGGAAAAAGGGAGGACATACAAATCATAAATTAAAGGAGTTCAAAGAATTGGTTTTGGAAATCTAACAGTATGCTTAAACAGCAGGGCTAGGGTGCATCACATACTGTAATTCAGTATCAACTTTACTAGCAATGGTCCCTTTCTAATAAACTAATAAAATACGGAAGAATAAAATAATTATTTAAAAGATTACAAAAACACCCTTCTAGTGGCGAGTAGTGTTTCAATTAAAATGAAATGACATGTTCCACTCTGCTCCACTTTCCGCCACTTTATTGGCAAACCACCCACTTGTTTTGGTAAAAATATCTTCCCACATTTCAAATTACCCTTCTGCAAACCCTTCAAACACACTGGATTTGTTTCTAAACGTTGCTTTCTTTACGTAGGAAATCACTGCGGCTTGTAATAAAAGAGAGAGCCCTCGGATTAAAATCATGTCACATAATGTGGGATGGTGGTTTTCTCCGCTTCAGTTTGTGTTACATGATGGTTTTCTCTGCCGCATCCACTGTAAAAGTGTGTGGGTGCGCTGTAAAACTCTGACCTCTCCAGGCTGCCAGCTGGCACTACATTCCTAAGATTTCAATAAACTTTTTATTATTAACACTGAATCTCACAGCAAGTAAATAGGTTAGTGACTTTAATCTGCAGCTAAATCCCATCAAGCTTTGTCTTACTTTAGTGCTTAAGCATGCACTTTTACCACTTTCCTTTCATCTTTACACAAGATGTAGAGGAGGAAACTGAGATGGCAATGCGAGCAATGATTCACAAGGACAATCTGGTTTCTCAGCAGCAGCTAAAATGACCTAAACAAGGTGTAAAATATTTTTCATTGAAACAGACTTCTAGTGCAGCTGTGAGTCACCCACATTTGTTTTCTCATCACCTATCCTTCAAAACAAATAACCACCTTTTGGAAGCAAACTCTGCATCTTCTCTCTTTGTGTGTCTACTTGCGTGAGTGTGTGTCCATTGATGCAAACATACGTATAAAATCAGCTTTGGCATACATGATTTTTGTGGAGGTGTGTATCTCTGCATCTGTGTGGGTGTGTGATACATGATTCCCTAACCAATCACATACCCAATGTCATAGTGAGGGCCACATTTATAAAGCGAGAGTGTATCTATGTATATATGTGTAAGAGAAAGAGAGGAGGGACAGAGCTGTTAAAGTCTCCGGGTCCTGCTTGCTGCCTCATACTGCAGACGTTGAAGAAAGAAGCTGAAATATGAAGACTTTGGCCATCCTGGTTCTCTGCTCTCTGGCAGTCATCTGTCTGACCTCAGGTAAGAGCCACAAAATCTCTTTTTTTGAACTGCTGTATATTAGTGCATAATTTCAAGTAGCCTATGCAAACAAAGTTTAAAAGCTACTGCTACAAAAGATCTGGAGAAAATAACTTATTTAGTTTTTACTGACTTTTACTGATTAAAATATTTTTATTTGATTTATTATTCATATTTTTTCCCTTATGTTTGACAGATGCCTCTGCTGGCTCCCAGCCTGCCAGTGACAACCCTGCTCAGGAGGGTAAGATCATTTTTGACTGTATCATCAATATTACATTGATTTGTAACATATTTGAGTCAGTTTGATTCAAACATGAAAGTCAAACTCAATGAATCAACAGTTTGGCTACAAAACTAATAAACTGGTTATCAGTTTGACATTTTATGTAATACTAGTCTGATTTGTTAGATATATTTGGAATAATGGTAATTAAAACTCATCTGCACACTGCATGAATATTGATCCATATTTTACTTGCAACATCTGGAGAAAAACATTTCTGTTATTTGCTATTTATAAGTCAAAGCTTCTACATACATTTAATTTTGGTTCATGGATAGACATCTTATATATTTTATACAATAAGATGAAGTTGTGTTGAATGTGCAGGCTTGTTTGTGGAGAGGGAGCAGGCCTCCACCGTGGTGAGACAGAAGAGAGCTGCTGGAGACTTATCCCTGGCACAGCTGGAGAGGTATTTCACACCTCATCTACTTTCACATGATAGGAAGAATATATACAAAGCAGTAGGCAAGCAAGCTCTCACATCAAATCCAATATGCCAAAAATTAGATCAGTGATTCCCAACCTGGGGTACTACTCTTTTGACTGGAACTGACTGGAAGAGTGGCACTGATTTCTGGTGGCATGAAGAATGCAACCCAGGACCCCAGTGTTCAGAAATATACAGATACACTAGATGGAAATAGCATTTATAGCACACGCAATAAAACTGCACGGTTTTAACTGCATGGGATTAGCATAGCGTGTAAAGGGGAGACTCGTGGGTGCCCATAGAACGCATTTTCATTCAGATATTTTGCGGTCAGAAATAGCCATGCCAGTTTGTCCATCGCCAAAATCTAGTATCTTCACTCGTTCTCTTTGAAAGGGAGCCTCTGAAAGACAGTCTGAGTGGTAGAGGGAAGGATAATGGGGTGGCACTATATAATTTAGCATATTGAGTCAGCTGTAGAACAAAATAGCAAATAGTAACATAATGAACAAAAAAGTTCATTAAACATGTATAAAGGATTAAAACATCCAGCTTGTACCACATGTAGTACTAAGGTAAAGTTAAACTAACCAAAACACTGACAGCTGAACTGTATGAAAAGATATTCTAATGATGTCCCATTGACTTATCAGAATCAGAATCAGAATCAGAAATACTTTAATAATCCCCGTGGGGAAATTACTTGAAAGGTGGGTACAAGAAACAGGAAAAACAAGAGGAGAGGGGAGGGGAAAAAAGCCGCTCCCAAACTCTGCTCCATTTTGAACATGACAAAAGGGATATTTGAGTTTCATCTGACATGAACGTGTGGGGAGGGCTAACGTGCTGAAGTACCATAGGAATGAACATCTATTAGTAATAGTTTGGCCCTGCCTATCATCTTGCAATCATCGTCTCGTGCT